AAAAGAACATGAATTTGTGTCACTGAATTTATATTATTAGGGTTAAACTGATACACAAATGAAACATGCCTGGGAACAACCTGGCACTGGTTACCTGGCATATTTGGACTTATTAAATTATGAAATTTAGGCCACAAAGTATTTATACTAATGAAATAATTATTTTGGATAGTGCTGGACGGTTATTAATTGCGCTCATTACGAAAATTGGGTCGATATTATTTCTGATAAGGGACGTCATTCACCATCCCAGATGGAGCAGTTCTCACCACTCTTCAAATAGACCACTTACGATTTTTTTTAGCTTAACTTGATTTCCATACATTTCTACACTTAAATTATTTGGATTAGTTATCTTAAAGGCTTACCTTTTATGATGGTTAGGAGAATTTGGAGGATATAAGCGGCGATGAGTCAAGTAGAGACTGGCGGATGTTCCTAAACAAACATGGAATTCTTTTAAAAAGAACAGTAAAATTCTTCATGTGCTGTTCTATATGGAGGATATCTTATAAAAAGTATTATTCCTTTGCAAATTTATACAATTTATGTGCATCCAATTCTATTTCTTTTCTTTTGGTTTCAAAATACAGTATAGTTCCATCGTAGTGATCATCGGGCGGGAGTGCGAGTACCACGGAAATCTCCCACGTTCCAATAACGAATCGTAGATGTATTTTTTTTTTAGCCCAGAACGCTTCTTGCACACCAACAAGGGGGCTACTACAGCATGGTATACATCACGGAGCTTCTTGCAATTGGCCCTAAATACAGTAGAGTAGGATGCTTTCTCTTCAGCTGTTATTTTAATCCTCGTTCAATCTCTGTGAGGTGGATCAAGGGGTACAGAAACCTCAATGAAAGGTGTGGGACTAGGGGGGTGGTAAAACTAAAGTAGGTAGAAAAGTGTTAAGATAATAAACACAATTATCCACACACATACTTAATCAAACACATACTTGCCTACACCAGTAAACAGTGAATGTTTGTGATAACATTAATTCTCAACTACAGTATATTAAATTTTACATTTCCCTGCGTTCATTCACCAGAAATAAAGATAATAAAAATACAATATAATGTGATAGTTGTGGTAATAACTCTTGTACTGTAGTTGTACCATACTGCTGCTGCTACTGTTGATAATAGTAATAATAATATCATCTTCATCATCCTCATCAGAAAATCAATAAGCCAAAACAAATAAAGGGATAACAAAATATGATGATGACAGCCACTTACAAAGGAAAAAACAACAAAAGGGGAAATTCAAGGAGACAAAACTCAATTCATATAAGTCTGGGAAATTCGTGTTTGATGATCTGACAAATACAAAAGATGGAGGGAAGCTTTGATCATCTCGGGGTAAACAAACCATTCTTTACACACGTCACGTCACTGTCAGTACGAGTGAGATAGTGAGGGTTTTTTTTTTTTGGGTGGGAGGGCGATTGACTTTGTCTTGTTTGAATTTCTGTGGTTTGTGTGTGGGCTTATTTTTATTTTTGTTAATTTAATGTCTTTGTTTTCAGGGTTTGTGTGTATTTTTAGAACTTAATGTATATAATTTTAGGGTTTGTGTCTGTTTTGAGGACTTAAAGTACCTGTTTATTTAGGGCTTGGATCTATTTTTAGGATTTGAATTAATTTTTAGGGCTTGTGTCAATTTTTTTTAAAGGAATTGTGTCTATTTTAAGGGCAGCCTTTACAACACACGTAAAAACATACAACAAATCTAAACATTGTTGATAGTTTGACCTATGGCACCTGCAGTCCACCTAACCTAACCTATACCTGTAAAATGGGTACTGTACCTCACTTTACTGTTTGGGGAAGTGAAGGTCAAGTGCAGTGTCGACCACGGTGCCTTCTTTGTGTACCGGAAGCCTAACTAAGGTGTTGGCATGCCTGTTACACCTACTACACCTTCAGTATGTTATATTAAGCATGGGAAGATCGATCTATCCATCTATGGTGGGATATAAGCGTCTTCAATATGTTGGACTCACAGCTGCGTGACTCGCGACAGAATCGGTGTAACTCGTAATCTGTCTACGTATTGAGTCTGTGTGTGTCCATCCGTGGATATTTGTACAAGTGTTGTCGGAGTTGTTCATTTGCCTGTGTGTGTACGCCTGTCTGTGTGTCTGTCAGTGTACAATGTTTTTTCACAAGTGTTTTCAGGGGAACTGTTTATCCTGGTGCTTTGAAAATTTACATACAAGTTCCTGAGGGCATAAAGCAACGCGCGGCTGGACGTGAACTTAATTCAACATGGCTGTCTGCAGTAATTCAACATGGCTGTCAGGAGTAATTCAACATGGCCGTCAGGAATTCAACATGGCCGTCAGGAGTAATTCAAAATGACTGTCAGGAGTATTTCAACATGGTTGTCAGGAGTAATTCAACATGGTTGTCAGGAGTAATTCAACATGGCCGTCAGGAGTAATTCAACTTGTCCGTCAGGAATAATTCAACATGTCCGTCAGGAATAATTCAACATGTCCGTCAGGAGTAATTCAACATGGCTGTCAGGAGTAATTCAACATAGTTGTCAGAAGTAATTCAACATGGTTGTCAGGAGTAATTCAAAATGACTGTCAGGAGTAATTCAACATGGTTGTCAGGAATAATTCAACATGTCCGTCAAGAGTTTTCAACATGTCCGTCAGGAGTAATTCAACATGGCTGCCACCATTGTTTTTTTAACCTGAAAAATAATCTCTATGAAAATTATAAGAATGATAAAAAAAATAGAATTAGCATCTCAATGTTGATAGTGGTAATGGGACGTGTGTGTCCCTCTCTCACTGTGCCTGCCTGCCTGTCTGTTTATACATGTATGTTTGTCTCTATCTACTTATATATCTCTTACTGATTATGAAGCAAAGATCTCTCTCCTACCTTTAAGTGCTCTTTTAAAATCGTCTAACGGTAACGATTCAACCCCCCCCCCCCACCCACACACCCTCGCCATTTAACAAACTCTCTAGCTCAGCCTTCCTCAATAGCAATCATCCTACATCAGCTGGACGTAAATTTCTCCTCTTTTTATGCATTCATTTCTTACATTTTTTCCGTTTTTTTCTCATTCATTCTTTTCTTTTTTCGCTCTCCTTCGTCTCGCCTGGGGTGAAAGCGTGTGGATGATGAATAGCTGAGCTGGGTTTGGGCATGTCACTGAGGAGCAGGGAGGGGTGGGGGGGGGGCCAAGGGTAAACACGACGTGCCGCTGCTTGAGGTGGGTTATCTGCCACCCACCCACCCACCCTTCCCCCTCCCCCGTGTCCCCTCCCTCCCTCCCTCCACTCCCGTCCCACTCTCCCGGTTCTTCCTCACCCTCCCTGACCTCTCCCTGTCTCTACTTCCTTGTCTTCCCGATCCTCCCCCTTTGATTAGTCTTAAATTAGAATATGACGTCCAATGTATATGAACCACTGTCCTGCATGGCAGTGAACAGAGACATGACTCTGACCTATATACAGTATACTATTAATGAATATGATCTATTCCTTTTTGTATGAACCTCTGTCCTGCGTGGCAGTGAGAAGTGATACCACCCTCAGTGTCAAGACCTGACTGAATTACTCAGAATAGGCAAACTGTACTCCAAGCGTTGTCAATAAATTTGTTAAACTAAAAAACTAAACCTTAACCCTCTTGCCCTCTACCCTGACCCTTCTATTTACTATACTAGCTTCACACTCACTCCCCCCCTTCCTGTCTTCTACCCACCCACCCTGCCTCCTACTCTCCCTCCTTACCTGCATCATACCCTCCCTCCCTTCCTGCCTCCCTCCCTGCCTCCTACCACCCCACCCCCCCCTTTTCTTTCCCATACCACTCACCTCACTCTTACCCTAGCTCCCTTTCTCCCTCATCACCCCTTTCCCTTCCTCCCTCTTCACCCTCACTACCCACCCTCCCTCATCCCCCTCCCTCCATCACCTCTACCACCCTCCCTCCCTCCCTCACCCCCATAATGTGTGCTGTAGCGGTTCTTTTGTGGTCATTGTGTGTACGAGTGGGTGGGAATGATGTTTGTGTATCGTTAGTGCTGGCGTTTGTGTGCTAATGTGTTGCTTCTCCTTGTCGTTGTTGTGGATGTGTGAGGGTGTGATGTTTGTGTCTCGTTAGTGCTGGCGTTTGTGTGTACGAATGTTTTGCTTCTCTGAGAGTTTGTGTGATTGTTTATGTTTGTGTATGTGTGTGCTGTTTGTGCGCTAATGTAATGCTTCGTTGTGTTATGTTTATGTTTTGTTGGTGCTGATGTAGTATGTGTACAGTGTTAACAAACAATGTCCTGTGTACTATTTAAGTATATAATGTAAGTGTACAGTGGGACGTAACGGTCAGCATGTTAGCCTTGTAGGGTGAAACTATGTGCAAGTTTCTTTACGCCATTTGCCTCTGTCTACGCAGCAGTAATTGGGGACCTTGGTGTTAATCGATTTGCGGTATCGTTTTCCGGGGTATGGTTAGCCAGTGCAGTTGGCGAATTGTCTGGTTTGCCAGGATTATTCCTTGACAATGGGCCACACAGCTTCTACACTTTATAAACAAATTCACGCCTAGGTGGCCCTAGCTGGCGGCCATCCTCAAACATGAGCGGCAACCGTCATTATATACTGTGTAGTGTGTACCATGTAGGTATAATTAAGGTATAAAGTGGAAGTGTACAGTGTAGGTGTACCGAGTCCTTGTACAGTGTAGGTGTACAAATTCTGTATACAGTGTAGATGTAGTACAGTGCCGTGTATAGCATTCCTTTGTGCCTTCCATAAACATACACAGTGGCAATATTATCCACATTTACAGGCTATATTGTTCTTGAGCGGCTGTAATCTCTCTCTCTCTCTCTCTCTCTCTCTCTCTCTCTCTCTCACCTGTATTTGTGATGGACGGAGGTGAAGTATAGTGGCTTAGGGCGGGAGGAGGGTGTTGGAGAAGCGTTAATCCGAGTGTTGGAGAATTGTCAATACGTGTGTTGGAGAAGCGTTAGTCTTAGTGTTGGAGAAACGTTAATCCGTATGTTGGAGAAGCGTTAATCTTGGTGTTGGGGAAGAGCTAATCTGGGTGTTTAAGCGTTAATCTGGGTGTTGAAGCGTTAATCTGAGTGTTGGAGAAACGTTAATCCGTGTGTTGGAGAAGCATTAATCCGATTGTTGGAGAAGCGTTAATCCGTGTGTTGGAGAAGCATTAATCCGATTGTTGGAGAAGCGTTAATCCGTGTCTTGGAGAAGCGTTAATCCGAGTGTTGGAGAAACGTTAATCCGAGTGTTGGAGAAGCGTTAATCCGAGTGTTGGAGAAACGTTAATCCGAGTGTTGGAGAAACGTTAATCCGAGTGTTGGAGAAGCGTTAATCCGAGTGTTGGAGAAGCGTTAATCCGAGTGTTGAAGCGTTAATCCGAGTGTTGGAGGAAGGTGCTGTAATGCTGTGTGGTGTCTTGAGATTGAGAACGTCTTGGCGTTTGCTGTTCCCACGAGGTAATTATTATTATTATTGTTATTATTACTGTTGTTATTATTATTATTATTATTATTATTGATGTTGTTGTTGTTATTGTTGTTGGTATTTGTTAAGTCGTCATTGTTATTATTATTGTTATTTATTCCTTTCTTCCTTGTCTTGTTTATTCTTTTTCCTTTTATATCCCTCCTCATTCTTTTTCTTCTTATTCCATTTTCTGTTTCCTAACTTGAAACGTCCTCCTCCTCCTCCTCCTCCTCCTCCTCCTCCTCCTCCTCCTCCTCCTCCTCCTCCTCCTCCTCCTCCTCCTCCTCCTCCTCCTCCTCCTCCTCCTCCTCCTCCTCCTCCTCTTCCTCCTCCTCCTCCTCCCTCCTCCTCCTCACACCTCCTGTCCTTGATTCCACCATCCTCCGACTCCTCTTTCGTGTATTTCCTTCCTGCTACCTCAATCCTCCTCTTTGTTGTCCCCTTCTTTCTCCTCTTTCTCTTTCTTCTCGTGTTCTCTGTACCACCTATCTCAGTCCTCCTCCTCCTCGCTCCTTCGCCTCTTCCTCCTCGCTCCTTCTCTTCCTCTTCCTCCTCCTCCTTCCTCCTCCTTCTCTTCCTCCTTCTCCTCTTCCTCTCCTCCCTCCTTCTCCTTCCTCTTTCCTCCTTTCCTTCCTCACCCCTCCTCTCGTTTTTCTCCGCCTCACTACATCAATCGTGTCATCCTCCGGTGTGTGTGTGTCGGGGGAGGGGTCTGATGTCTTGCAACTTGAATGTGCAACTGTGCATGTCCAATACTGTGATACACCTTTATATTTAAGGCGTTTACGTGTCCCGTTAGGTCTTAAAGGGCGATGGGTTAAAAAAGGGCGATGGGTTATAAGGGCGGTGGGTTAAAGGGGCGGTGGGTTAAAGGGGCGGTGGGTTAAAAGGGCAGTGATGTTAAAAGGGCGGTGGTTTACAACGGTCGACCAGGAAGGTGAGTTCTGAGCCACAATTCCTCGATAAAATATTCAGTAAAATTTAAATAAAGTGAAAAGATACAATGACCAACAGTAAATACTTATACGAGATGGTCTTTCGTGTTGTAAGGGGTCAAAGGTCAGAGATCATGTGTCAAATGTCAGGGGTCATGTAGTCTAGACTACTCTAGATGACGTTGATTTTTGTACCTTCAATAATTTTTAGATATTTTCCGTTAAAAAGGATCACCTGAAGTTTTGGCACCCCAGCTTTTTATATCACCTGTTGATTAGCTATCCTATCGCTACCTGGGGAATTAGGTTACGTTAGGTTATGTAGGATTGGGTTTGTTTAGGTTGCGTTAGGTTATGTAGGATTGGGTTAGGTTAGGTTAGGTTGGGTTAGGTTACATAGGCTAAGGTTAATTTAAGTTAGTGCTAGGTTGGTTAATCCCCCCAAAAAAATCTGGGTACAATTTCTTTCATTTCTCAATCATCAAAGACGGAATTTTGGGGGCGATTTTCTTAGAGAAATTTTCACACGTCGAGGGAAAAGGTTTTTGAAATGTGTCCAGTGTTGCTAGCGGACCCCCCACACGAGACGAGCTAGAGGTCAAAAATTGGCGCTGAATTGGGAGTCTTTTTCACCTGTTAGTCGTCAATAGTTTGGCCAATTCCGACACGAAAACATGAAGTTATTTCTCCTGGTCATATTCACTAAACCACTACTGCAGACAGACAGATGGGGAGGATTTATGGCTTTGTGTTGTTGTTGCGGGGTTAAAAATGATAGATGTTAAGGGAGGGATTTGGGGACGGATCTAGGGAGGGAGAGGGGGAGGGGTATTTGTGGAGGGATAGGGTGTATTTGCTAGGGAGGAGAGGTGAGGGAGGGGTGTGGGAGGGAGAGGTGTGTTTGAGGGAGGGATGGGTGTATTTGCTAGGGAGGGAGAGGGTTGTATTTGCTAGGGAGGAGGGGTGTAATTGCTATTGTAGGGAGAGGGGTGTAATGCTAGGAGAGGGAGAGGGTGTATTGCTGGGGAGGGATAGGGTGTGTGCTAGGGGAGGAGAGGGTGTAATTGGGGTGTGTTGGCTATGTAGGGAGGAGAGGGAGGCTGGTGCTAGGAGAGGGTGTAATTGTAGGAGAGAATGTGCTAGGGAGAGGGATGTAGAAGGGGTGTGCTAGTGTAATTGCTAGGGGAGAGGGTGTAGGTGTATTTGTTAGGGAGGGATAGGGTGTAATTGCTAGGGAGGGAGAGGGGTGTAATTGCTAGGGTGTAGCTGGGGAGGAGGGTGTTTGCTAGGGGAGTAAGGAGAGGTGTATTTGCTGGGGAAGGAGAGGTGTTGGGGGAGGGAGAGGGTGTATTTGCTGGGGAGGGAGAGGTGTATTTGCTAGGGAGGAGGGGGTGTGTTGCTAGGGGAGGAGAGGGTGTATTTGTACTGCTAGGGAGAGAGAGGGTGTGTTCTCTTGTTTGCTAGGGAGGAGAGGAGAGGAATTTGCTAGGTGTATTTGCTAGGGGAGGGAGAGGGAGTATTTAATGACCCACTGAAACGTCAGGTCACAGGTCACGTATTTCTTAATCGTCTCAGGATTCAGGTGTGCGAGGGCAAGACAGACAGGTGTTTAAAGGTAGACAGACAGACAGACAGGTGTATAAAATACAGACAGACAGATAGGTGTATAAACTACAGACAGACAGGTGTGCAAGATCGAGTTAGACGAGACCCCCGGTAGTCAGGTATGTGTTTGTGCGTCAGGTCGATACAGGTGTGTGAGGTGGAGGCCAGCTAGGTGACACGGTGGGGCCAGCTAGGTGACACGGCGAGGCCAGCTAGGTGACACTGAGAACAACTAGGAGACAGCCGTAGAGTGATATAAACCACGTCGCCTGGGACTTACCTGTGATGTTCTCCGGGACGACGGCCGTGGCTGCGTGTACCAGGAACCTTGGGGCGTAGCTGTCTTCTGTGGGCAGATATAAAAGAAGCGTTAGTCAGTTGTATGAATGCCAACCTTAACTGACTGATTGACTTACTGATTAACTGATTGATGGACTGACTGACTGACAGTGATTTATTGACTGGCTGACTGAGTTATTGACTGACTGACAGTGATTTATTGATTAACTGACTGACGGACCCAGTGAAAACATTCTTTTACATGAGTAGGCAGTGACAGATTGTTTTTATTATTATTATTATTATTAGTAGTATTATTATTGTTGTTGTTAGTGTTATTTTTATTGTTGTTTTTAATAGGTAATATTATTAATACTACAGGGTTCCCACAATTATTGAAAAATCGTGGAAATAAAAGTAGATACGGGCAACTTTCCTTCTTTCCAATATATATATATATATACATATTATACACACTTTGCATTTTACATTTCCCTTCAGGGTTCAACGCGCCCATATTGAGTGTATTTTATGGGGGTCAGAACACGGAACATTATCTTTCTGGCTGATGGAGTTTGGTGGCAGTTTTCCTGGTTAATTAATGGTCATCTGTCCTGCTCCAACCTTATATAATGTATGATGTACCTTCAACAATATTTCCTCTGGGCATTTATACAACATTCACAATCATAATCTCATTAAGGGAATTTCTGTAGACATTTATTTAGGTTTCTTACTGTCACACGGCCATACAGTGAGGTACGGCCCTACATTAACCCCACCAGTCCAAGGCCTTCCCGTCACCTGGACAAAATCGTCAGGCGTTGGTTGGGAAAAATCCCTAATTGTCGTCATCAAACTGAAGGGAATGGGGGAGAGAAAACTAAACTATATTAACGTTACTGTAGATGTTCAATTAGACGTGAGATTTCTGACTGCATTAACTCGTTTCATAAAGCTGGTTTTCCGGCATCTTCCTGGTGTAGATTAACATACTTTTTTTCTCCTCTAATGATACTTTATTTTTTTATATCCTCCCCCGGGCGTGCTGTTCCCCGTAAACAGTAGTTCACCTTGAAGCCTTTTAAGTGATCTGGTCAGGGAAAATATAATCTGATTTGTGTGGGAACCTTCTATCATTATTGTTATTATTATTGTTATGTTTTTATTAGGGTTATTGTTTTAATGCACCTTTTACTGTGTGTGTGTGTGTTTTTCCGGTTACGGATACATGTACTGTTATTGGCTGCTAACAAATAAAACACCACACTGTACTCTCGGTAAACTCTAGGCTTGTAATTAATCCAGGTAGGGTCAGGTAGATATAATAGCACCTGTTTTATTTTTATATTCCATTTGTTTATATCATCACAATCCACTATTCCCGTATTAATTTCTGAAGAAGTTTTACCATAAATTATTCTCTTAACTGTTGAGGTTAGGATCTGTCTTTTGTTTTCACTTACGGTACAAAACATGGCGCCAATATTGAATCGAGACTCTACCGAAAGTAGATGTTCATTTAATACCAATTAGAAGTTCAGAGTTTCATAATTAATTTGGAAAGAAATTATTAACCTTCTTGTTTATTTGTGTGAAGTGAATTGATCGAGGTAGAGTCTGAGTGTAATTAGTATGTATGTAGTTACGAGCCTCTGTGAACAAACACCAACCATACACCAAGTTACATCAGTACATCACCCAACTCAAGACGAAATTTGTATGTATGTATGTAGTTACGACCCTGTATGAACCAACTCTCACCATACACCAGGTTACATCACCCGACACACAGAAGAAATTAAATAATGTAGTATACGTTGTAAATTTTTTTCGCCATCTTTCCATAATGAATAAACTTTGCCTTTGTGTTCGTAAAAACTTTGTATTTAATAAAAAGTTTGAAGTCGGGTGGAAATTTTGCGGGTGAGGTCTGAGGTTATGGTAAACTGTACTTTTATATTATTATTACTTTTATTTTGTTAATATTTTGCTATTTTTATACGACCCGCTGAGTATTAGCGTTTTCCTTGAGTAGGGAAGCTGGTCCATTTTCTACTTCAAGGGAAGACATTTAGGTTTTAAGGGAGACTGTTGTTTTAAGGGAGATTGGTGATTTAAGGGAGGCTGTGGTGTTTTAAGGGAGGCTGTGGTGTTTTTTGGGAGGTTGTGTTGTTATAAGGGAGGCTGTGTTGTTTTAAGGGAACTTGTGTTGTAAGGGAGGCTGTGTTGTTTTAAGGGGACTGGCGTGTGATGTTTTAAAGGGAAGACTGATGTTTTAAGGGGGAGACTGATGTTTTATGGGGAGACTGTGATATTTTAAGGAGAAACTGTGATGTTTTAAGGGGGAGACTGATGTCTTAAGGGGAGACTGATATTTTAAAGGGGACTCGTGTTTTAAGTGGGGACTGTGATGTTTAAAGAGGGAGACTGATGTTTTAACCGGGTACTTATATTTTTAGGGGATACTGTGATATTGAAAGGGGTGACTGATATTTTAAAGGGGAGACTGTGATGTCTTAAGTAGGAGGCTGATGTTTTAAGGGGAGACTGGTGTTTTAAAGGGGGACTCGTGTTTTAAAGGGGAGACTGATGATTTAAGGGAGACCGGTGTTTTAAGGGGAGACTGTTGTAGGTGGTCCCTGTCCACACACACACACACGTCTCGGCGTCAGTGATCATTGGTGCCATTATTCAGACGATCTGTTTTATTCACTTCAGTGGACAGCCTTCAGTGAGGACGATAATGAATTCAATAATTACCTGTAATAATGTTTGACGTGTTTCCAAGTCTTTGTTTGTTTTTCTTTGCTCTTGTGTTTGGATTTCTGCATCACCTGAAGATTATCCCGAGTGTAATTCACTTTTAGATTAATCACACAACGTTGACCTAATTTAATATAATCTAGTTTTATTTAGCTCTAACCTAACCTAATATAATCCAACGCTAACCTAACCTAACCAACCCCCAGGTAACGTTAGGGTTTTATTTAATCATCAGGTGGCTAAATTCTCAGGTGATCCACTCTCTCTCCTCTGATTAATATTATGTTCTATTACCTCAGTGTTTACTATATGTGGCCCCCTGGTGGTGAAAGGTCCAATTTCTCTTCTGTAATTGGCAATTTTTCTCCCTATTACACTGTGGTTGAGCTGTGTCGTGTGGTGATGGTTGTAATAGTGATAGTAATTGTAGGTTATGAGTTGCTTGTTTGTTTTGTTTGTTGAGATATATTGTTTGATTTTTGTTTGCTGGTTGATAGATATATTGGGATTTTGTTTGGTTGAGTATAAACAAAAGTTATAGGGCGTGAGATGATTTTTTTTTCATGTTTACTTTCTAGTAAGTTGGAGGTGAAGAGGATTTTTTTCTTATATTTGCTTGTGTGTAAACAATACCTGTACGTCACCAGAGAGGAGAGATGGAGTGAGGGAGTGAGAAGGTAAGTAAGAGATGGGTGGGGAGAAGGATGTGTGAGGTGAGGGGGGCATGGTAGAGATGGGTGAGGGTGGGCGGGGGCATAAGTAAGAGATGGAGTGGGGAGGGTGGGGGGGGGCATGAAGTAAGAGATGGAGTGAGGATTTGAAGTGAGTTGGGGGTTTAAATGAAAGAGATGAAGTCAAGGGGTGGAGTGAGGGATGGGCTGGGTGAATGGAGTGAGTTGGGGGGTAAAGTGAGGAGAGGTGGAATGAATGAAGAGAGACGGAGTGGGATGAAGTTATAGAGCCATAGGAAGGGGGAGTTAGGGGTAGTTGTGTACATACCATAGTGCTGACAGTAGTTACCCCCCCAACAAGGGTAACAAATGCAGGGGACTTCCTCGCTGGTGTACCCGTTCAGACAGCTGTTTGGGCGAGACGTGAAGAATATTAATTAGTAAAATGTAAGGGAGATTTTAACTAAAGGGGTCGTGTGTGTTGTGGCGGTTTTATAATACTTAAGTTCATGGAGTTAAAAGATGACTTGATACTCCACGCGCGCACACACACACACACACACACACACGCACACACACACACACAGACACGCACACACACACACACAGACACACACACAACCAAAATCAGCGTCGGTCGTGCCAACTCCGAACTTGTGACATACCTCCTTTAATTAATTTGGAGGCAATTAATTATTCCCTGTATAAATATCAACGTTTTACAGTAAGTGAGGTTTATTTTTATACGTACTCGGTTGTTGGTGTGTGTGTGAGAGAGAGAGAGAGAGAGAGAGAGAGAGAGAGAGAGAGAGAGAGAGAGAGAGAGGTCTGACGTCGTACATTCTGGAGAAGTAGTGTCATTGCCTCGCTACACACAGCCCACATTTTACGATAATAAATTGTTGACGGTGTTCATCTTGACACATGTGGCCTGAGGGAAGACACTTATGGGTTGGGGAAGACACTTAAGGGTTGGGGAAGACACTTAAGGGTTGGGGAAGACACTTAAGGATTGTGGGGAAGACACTTAAAGACACCCGATGATCAAAAGATCGTGAGTTCCAAATATTTCCCCACCCAAATCAACGCCTCTTGTTAGGGTAGAGTCTCAGGGTCTTTTTGGTCGCCATCTTTGTGACTCTTCTCGTAGTGTCAGAGTCAGTGTGCCGCCATCTTAAATTAGATCAGTTCTGAGAGAGAGAGATGGGGTCGGGGGTGGGGAGGGGATGGGGTGAGACCGGTGGTGTCTGGTGGGCTGGCAACTCGCCTCAGCACAACTGTCTATTGCGATTAATGTCGAGCCAGACACTGTGTGGTGATGTGCTCCCAGCCAGCCACCACTTGACTACCATGACTCTGGTCTGGGCCCCACCATCTGACTCTACCATGACTCTGGGCCCCACCATCTGACTCTACCATGGCTCTGGGCCTCACCATCTGACTCTACCATGACTCTGGGCCCCACCATCTGACTCTACCATGACTCTAGGCCCCACCATCTGACTCTACCTTGACTCTGGGCCCACCATCGGCTCTACCATGACTCTGGGCCCCACCATCTGATGACTCTACCATGACTCTGGGCCCGTCATCTGACTCTACCATGACTCTGGGCCCCACCATCTGACTCTACCAGCAGGCTCTGGGCCCCACCATCCCAGCTCTACCGCGACTCGCGGCCCCACCATCTGGCTCTACCACCATGACTCTGGGCCCCTACATCTGATTCTACCATGACTCTGGGCCCCACCATCTGACTCTACCATGACTCTGGGCCCGTCATCCTGGCTCTACCATGACTCTGGGCCCCACCATCTGTTCCACCATGACTCTGGGCCCCACCATCTGACTCTACCATGACTCTAGGCCCCACCATCTGACTCTACCTTGACTCCTGGGCCACACCATCTGACTCTACATGACTCTGGGCCCACCATCTGACTCTACCATGACTCTGGGCCCGTCATCTGGCTCTACCATGACTCTGGGCCCCACCATCTGGCTCACCATGAGCTCAGGGCCCCCACCATCTGGCTCTACCATGACTCGCAGCCCCATCTGGCTCTACCATGACTCTGGGCCCCTGTCTGATTCTACCATGACTCTAGGCCCCCACCATCTGACTCTACCATGACTCTGGGCCCGTCATCTGACTCTACCATGACTCTGGGCCCCACCATCTGACTCTACCATGACTCTAGGCCCCACCATCTGACTCTACCATGACTCTGGGCCCGTCATCTGGCCTCACTTGACTCTAGGCCCCACCATCCTGACTCTACCCTGTGACTCTGGGCCCCTGTCTGACTCTACCATGACTCTGGGCCCCCACCATCTGACTCTACCATGACTCTGGGCCCCACCTTCTGACTCTACCATGACTCTGGGCCCCACCATCTGTCTACCATGACTCTGAGCCCCACCATCTAGCTCTACTTGGCTCTGGGGCCCCACCATCTGATTCTACCATGACTCTGGGCCCCACCATCTGACTCTACCATGGCTCTGGGCCTCACCATCTGACTCTACCATGACTCTGGGCCCCACCATCTGACTCTACCATGACTCTTGGCCCTTCACTTGACTCTGCCATGACTTACCACCACCTGACTTAACATGATTCAGAGACCACCATCTTTCTCACTCTGTCTTTCTTTATTCCTTTATTTATTTATTTTTTCGAACTTGAGATCCTTGCTCTCTTTCGCTCTCTCCCCCACTTTAATGTGAGGTTCCGGCTCTCTCTCTCTCTCTCTCTCTCTCTCTCTCTCTCTCTCTCTCTCTCTCTCTCTCTCCTCTCCTCTCTCTCTCTCTCTCTCTCTCTCTCTCTCTCACCATGAGGTACTTCCAGCCTCACTTCCAATAATCTAGGACACTCATGACCTCTCCTCACGCATCCCCCCTCCTCCCCTCCCCTACCCACACCTCCCCCTACACCCCTCCACCACCCTCTCCCTTCCCCACCCACCCTTCTCCTGTCCCCTTCATCCTCGCCTCCCCACCCCCCCCTCCCCTCTGATGACAATGGTTAAGGGTTAAAACTTTTGGTCTCCTAACCCATTTTGGGTTTCGTTTCAGAATTGTCACGACACTGGATTTGGAAGTGTGTGTGTGTGTGTGTGTGTGTGTGTGTGTGTGTGTGTGTGTGTGTGTGTGTGTGTGTGTGTGTGTGTGTGTGTGTGTGTGTGTGTGTGTGTTTGTGTGTGTGTGTGTGTGTGTGTGTGTGTGTGTGTGTGTGTGTGTGTGTGTGTGATTATTAACCTCTGAATGCAGACTTAACCCCTTGAGTACTAATGATAGTGTACTCATGATAAAGTCATCGTACTCAAGGGTTAATAATCTAACACACACACACACACACACATACACACACACACAGCCTTAATAATACTGTAGAACAATACATACCAACAGTGTAAAACCCCCAACAGATGACCCAATAGAGGTCGAGTATACAAGGTCGTCGTCATTTTAGCTAGAGGTCAAATAATTGCAGAGGAGGAGGGGTTGGTAGGGGAGGATGGGGGAGATGGGGTGATTAAGTAGGAGGGAGGTTGGGTGGGTTGGTAGGGGGAAGGAGGGGTAGATGGGGTGGCTTAGTAGGGGGTTAGTAGGAGGGAGGTGGGGTGGGATGGTAGAGTGAAGGAAGGAGAGTTGGTAAGGTGGAGGAGGAGGGGTAGATGGGTGTGGTTGGTGGAGGGAGCTGGGGCCTGGATGGTAGGGGGTGGGGGGTTCCCAGTGGTGCAGGATACAATGTAAGGTTTCCAGTGTCAATGGTCAGTTAGCATGCGACCTCGACACTAGGGAGGATCACTGTACACACCGCGACCCGTTGTGTGCTTCAGGTTTAGGCAAGAGATGAGCACTTTCACCGCCCTGGTTGTCTGTATACACGAGGATATACTGTATAACTCTCTCTCTCTCTCTCTCTCTCTCTCTCTCACTCTCTCGTTGAAGTGTCGCAGTTAAGAGCTTCCAGGCCCAGATTCTAAAATGGTCGTTCGTGGATTTTTTTATTATTATTCTTTTTTTTTCTGAACTGGATATATGTGGATTTTTTCTCTCACTAAATTGGAGACATATGGATTTTTTTTTCACTGTGCTGGTATGCGGATTATTATTTTTTTTTCCACTTCAGTTACGATAAAATGCTTCTCAAAAATTTCAGTACGTTGATATTTCCCCCAGAGTGGTGATGTAAGGAACATATCGTATCTACCGTAGTTCACGTAAGTCATCTCCGACACTAATATATATATCCTCAAAGGTTCGTGTGTTGCAATATTACCCCGACCCTTGTATCTGGAGGTGTTGTGAGCCTATCTTAAACCAGGGTGCAAGGATGGATTCTGGAGGGTTTTTATGTTAATTTGTGACAATCTGGCATCGTAACCCAAGCAAAATGATCCTTTATTTAACCTATTATATGTGTGTGTGGCCAATAGCAACCCAACAACTGTGTAACCAACCCAACCCAATGCCTCATTTAGTATTCAGGTGTTTAATCATCAGACGAAACAAGCAAGGGGTGCCTAATCTTATATTTGAACCGGGTACAAATTCACAGTTCCATGAGTTTGTGAATACCGGCAGACAGTGTTACGGTAGACGGGCGCCGAGAGGATGGGGGAGGCCTCGCTGCCTCTACGGAGATCAACATTCAAATCTAGTTACATTTGTTTTGAATAATCAGTGGATTTGTATGTGTGTGTGTGTGTGTGTGTGTGTGTGTGTGTGCGTGTGTGTGTGTGTGTATGTGTGTGTGTGTGTGTGTGTGTGCGCAATTATTTTGTTTGTTTGTGTGTGTGTGTGTGTTTGTTTGTTTGAGTATAATTATTTTGCTTGTTTTTTTGTGTGTGGTAATTGTATTCGTTGTGTGTGTGTGTCTGTGTATGTATAATTCTTTGCATATGTGTGTATTACAACTCTCATATGTAAACGTTCATGATCACATTACACCCGTGCCTGCTGTCATATTGTGTGTACACGTGTGTGTGTGTGTGAGCGGCTGTTTTCAATGCACAGTACACGTGTTTGTGCTCAGATTGCATACACATGTGTTGTAATCTACGTGTGTGTGTGTGTGTGTGTGTGTGTGTGTGTGTGTGTGTGTGTGTGTGTGTGTGTGTGTGTGTGTGTGTGTGTGTGTATGTATGTATGTATGTATCACACAACATAAACTATGATGCACTTCTCGAAGTAAAACAGAGAGAGAGAGAGAGAGAGAGAGAGAGAGAGAGGGGAGGGGAGCAATTGTGAAATATGGCCACCAGGTGTGTGTGTGTGTGTGTGTGTGTGTGTGTGTGTGTTTTGAGTGAGGGAGATTAAAACCTCCTTTTTGTTTCCTGTGTCTGCAAAATAATGTGAATTGATAGTGTGCGTCAATTATGTTGAGGTAAGTTGTGTTTGTGTAGTTGGTGTGGTGTTTGTGTCGTTGGTGTGGTGTTTGTGTAGTTGGTGTGGTGTTTGTGTGGTTGGTGGTGTTTGTGAGTTGGTGTGGTGTTTGTGTGGTTGGAGTGGTGGTTGTGTAGTTGGTGTGTGGTGTTTGTGTAGTTGGTGGTGTTTGTGTAGTTGGTGGTGTTTGTGTAGTTGGTATGGTGGTTGTGTAGTTGGTGTGGTGTTTGTGGTAGTTGGGTGGTGGTTGGTAGTTGGAGTGGTGGTTGTGTATTGGTGTTGTTTGTGTAGTTGGTGGTGTTTGTGTAGTTGGTGGTGTTTGGTAGTTGGTGGTGGTTGTGAGTTGGTGTGGTGTTTGTGTAGTTGGGATGGTGGTTGTGTAGTTGGTGGTGTTTGTGTAGTTGGTGTGGTGGTTGTGTAGTTGGTGGTTTGTGGTTGGAGTGGTGGTTAGTAGTTGGTGGGTGTTTGTGTGGTTGGAGTGGTGGTTGGTAGTTGGTGTGGTGTTTGTGTAGTTGGTGTGGTGTTTGTGTAGTTGGAATGGTGTTTGTGTAGTTGGTGTGGTGTTTGTGTGGTTGGATTGGTGGTTGTGTGTTTGGTGTGGTGTTTGTGTGGTTGGTGTGGTGGTTGTGTAGTTGGTGTGGTGTTTGTGTGGTTGGTGTGGTGGTTGTGTAGTTGGTGTGGTGGTTGTGTAGTTGGTGTGGTGTTTGTGTAGGTGTGGTGTTTGTGTAGTTGGTGTGGGGTTTGTAGGTTTTGTATACTGTCAGTTGTATTTGCCTAAATATTACCACAAAATAACTAATAAAACACCATCACAAACACCCATAAAACACTACCGCAAACTCATCATAAACACCCCATAAAACACCATCATAAACACCATCAAACACCCTCCCATAAACACCATCACAAACACTGCCACAAACACCCCTCATAAAAACACCATCACAAACACTGCTACAAACAACCCTCCCATAAAACAGCATCATAAACACCTATCAAACACCCATCAAACAATCTCCCCATAAAAACACCATCACAAACACTGCTTACAAACACCTCCTCATAAAACAATATCCAAACACTGCCACAAAACACACCCTCCCCATAAAACAGCATCATAAAACACCTATCAAACACCCTCCCCATAAAACACCATCACAAACACTGCCATTAAACACCCTCCCCATAAAACACCATCACAAACACCGCCACAAACCCCAGGAAATAAAACAGAGAGTTGTGAGGTTTAAGAGTACAATGGGTGCAGAGTAATTGGGGGGCAGTATGTTACCCCTGTCACGCCTACTCTCTGATAGGGAAGTATTTAAATTTGTGTACAAGTTGTAACTGGGTGGTAAATGTGTGTGTGGAGTTGGAGGGATGAGGGGTGGAGGGGGTGAGGGGTGGGAGGGGATGAGGAGGAGGGGGGATGAGGGATGAGGGGTGGAGGGGAGGTGAGGGGTGGAGGCAGGGGTGAGGGGTGGAGGGGGGAGGGGTGGAGGGGGAGGGGTGGAGGGGATGAGGGTGGAGGGAGGGGGGTGGGGGGGATGGGGGTGGAGGGGGTGAGGGATGGAGGGGGATGAGGGTGGGAGGGGTGAGGTGGAGGGAGAGGGGTGAGGGGGTGGAGGATGAGGGGTGGAGGGGGTGGTGAGAGGGGGGTGGGGAGGGGTAGAGGGGGTGAGGGGTGGAGGGAGGTGAGGGTGGAGGGGGATGAGGGGTGGGAGGGGGTGAGGTTGGAGGGGGATGAGGGGGATGAGGGTGGAGGGAGGGGTGAGGGGGTGGAGGGCAGGGGTGAGGGGTGGAGGGGTGAGGGGTGGGAGGGGTGGGGAGGGGTGGAGTGGGGATGAGGGGTGGAGGGGGATGAGGGTGGAGGGGGTGGGATGGGGTGGAGGGGGTGAGGGGTGGAGGGGGATGAGGGTGGAGGGGGGGGTGAGGGGTGGAAAGGGGGTGAGGGTGGAGGGAGGG